ACTACACCGGTGTTGGATTGCTCCAGATCAGTGCGAAGGCCATCAAAAGCCGCGCTTCCAGTCCACCCTTCCACCCTCCAAATTGATCCCCGTCCTGTGTCAGCAAGCGAAACACCAGAAACAAAAATCTTCACCTTTTCCAAGTTCCTCTGGAACTCCAACTCCGGGAGTGACAATTCTCTAAGCAGATCCAGCCTGGCCTTGTCCAACCTGTTGCCTAGCTCTGTCATGGAGTGTGCTGCCAAGGTCAGAATGATGCATCCAATTTCTGGCCGGACGTGTCCTGCACGAATATAAGGGGCATTTCCGCGAATCTTTCCCTGATTGGAAAAGGTCGTATTAATCCGATTCCAGATTGCCTCAATATCGACACCCTCTGGCAGGGCAACCTTCTTTTGGGTGGCGAAATGCATGGTGATGTGCCTCCCTCTAGCATTCAGGGTTGGTGACGAGCGTGGTGGTAGTGGTACCGAGTTTAATGGGTCTAGGGGTCCCATTGGTACCCGTCAGTATTCCTGTCGTATCTGAGCCACAGTTACTTTGACATTGGCCCGGACTGAGCCATCGTAGCAACAGGTATCACATCCTTTGGAGTCGATTCCTGTTTATCAGCCTTCCCTTGAGTCTTGGCCGAGGTCACCGCTTCCCTTTCTTCACCAGATCCTCTGGCAACCTTTCTTCTCCTTCTAGCAGCACCACTTAGGTGTCTGCCATGTTTCCTTCATTCTTTCTTCTTATGTTCTTCCTCCCCCTCCTCCTCTTCCCAGTGAACAGACTTGCCTTCGCCTCCACAGGCTGCTCGCACGACTACCCTCCCTTCGCTGGAGGAGCCGCCACTGCTGCTAGACTGGTGGGATGAGGCTGCTGATGTGGGCCAGGCAGGACACACCCATTCCTGTGGGCCAGCAGGGGGCTTGGGTATGTATGCCATTCGTTTTACTACTTCCGTAAAGGAGGCTTTAGCAGTAGTGGCCTCCGTAGAGGCCTCCTTTCTCTTGGGGGTAGGAGACGGCAGGGTTGGCTCCAAAGAGACAGTGGAGGTGCTGCGAGATACAGAAGGGGAGGGACAGCGGCGGGGGGACAACTTTACCTGAAGGGATTCAATTTCCTCTCCTTGCCTGCCAACAATGTCAGTTAGTGCCTTAACTGCCCGTTCTAAAACATGAACTCGACTCCAGTAGTTTATCCCGTTCCTCGGACCTTTATCGTCAAAGGTGAGGCTACTGTTCATCCAAGCTCGTATGTTCTGTACTGTGTCGTCTTCAATCGACCCAGACTCCGAGGAGAGGAGAGGCTAAGTATTGCCAGACCGGATGTTCTCTAGGCCTTCCAACATGGATCCAATTACACTACCCAAGTGAGGCCCAGGTAAGGGAGTCCTACCAGCATCCAGCATCTCACAGACACCTGCCATGATTGAGTCCACCTGCGCTACCACAGCGTCGGCATCCTCTGGTTGGGTTTCTGGCAGCTGAACTTCCAATGGGGTTGAATCACCACTGGGGGTTTCCGAGGCACCCTCCAGTTGGCCTCCGGGAGGTGACACCCATCGTCCAACAATAGGTGGAGGTGATGAGCCCATGGCTGGTGAAGGGGCGTGTAAGCTGTCGCCCAAACCAGTCGCTTCCGAGTTGCGCCCATTACCCACGCCCATAGGGGTGTCTCTAACCATCACCACAGAGGTGGGTAGGATGTCCTCAGTCATTAGCTGGGATGGAGAAGGGGGTGTGGCCTCGATTGTTGATGGGAGCACCACAGGCGGAGAGATAGCCAAGCGCCCTTGGTGAACATTCAGGGATAGGCCAGGAAGAGCGCGAACAATCTGTTTTTTCCGTCCTTCATCAACATTGATAGCCCTTAAAAATTGGGGACCCAGGAGAGGAGCAGCAGATCACTTAATAGGGGATGCCGACTGTGTTCGGCGGCATGTTCCAGAGGTAGAAGGGTTATAATCCTCGTCATCAGGGTCGTACAGCTTGAACTTCAGGGTTTCGTAAAGAGCCCTTTCGCCTGAAGACATTCCTGCCAGGAAGGAGGGAGTGGAGGAGCCGGTCCCGGTATTGTAGGCCTGGCGGAAGAAGCTGGGCATCTTGCTTTGGACAACCCTAGTGAGGTGAGGAGTAGTGGACCAAGAGCTGGCCTCAACCGTGGTGGCAGCCGAGTTGTCTTTAGTGGGGGCAACGGAGAATTCAGGGACTACAGCCTGAGAGTCTTTGGGAGGGGAAGGTACAAGGGCTGGAGAGTATTCTGAGCCACGGTCTGAGTTGAACCGAACAAAGAGTCCTGTGGTAGTGTCCTTGTCCAAGCCAGATGTGGCTGAACAGCCCCTCCCGATCAGGAAACCTCTCACCAAAACCTCCACTTCTTTCATCGTGGCAACAGTCGCATCAGCGACCATTTGCCGAACCAAATCATCAAACCATGGGTTAAACGCATTTTGACATCCGTGACAGTGGTGAAACTGTAGGAAATTAAAGTTCCCTTTGGGTGCAACATATGACCGTGTAGTTGTAGGTATGAGGCCACAGTCAGCCTCAGTAGCGGGCGCAAGAGACAAGACTGTAGAGGCTGTCTCAAGCGAGGAGGAAGGGTTGGAGTTGAACCGCACGGGGGACGACATCCTCGAAGGGGGGGGAGAATCCATGGAAGAGGAGGCTGTCAAAGATGCCATACTCGCCCAAACTATACTCAGTGATTACCAGGACCAGGCCACGGATATCTCACACTGAAGTATCTTCTAAGGGAGAACAACTACTTCTAACCGACCGCCTGAAACGAAAAACACAAACAAGTAACAGTAGATGAAGTATTTATCCCGAGCGAAATAAGGTAAAGTATTGGTTTTGCTCACCACCGACACAGAGTATAAGAAGTAGGAAAAGTACTTAGAACAAAGTGTTAAGAACCTATCTTCCTCAGCCGCATCAGCCTCCTTATATAGTATTCTTCCCACCCATAGTCATGTGACCTAAAGTGGTCACATGTGCGAAACCAAATCATAACAAACTAGTCATGTGACCAAAGTGATCCCATGCTCAAAACCTATGACCTCATAGCGAGGTCATATACAAAACTCATAAACCAATCATATAGCAATAAACAAGTCATATGACTCAACTGAGTCATATGTGCAAAACCCATGACCTCATAACGAGGTCATGTGCGAAACATAAATGATATACGCAAGGCTTGCCCGCAAGGCACACTCGCAAGGCATACTCGCCAGGCGCACGTCCTATGACACATATTTGAGCCATGTACGAAAGCATCACAAATCCCACACATAACAAATCATATGACCCGAATGAGTCATATGTGTAAAATAATAACATACCTGTGACTCATAACCATGTGTCACGTGAAAGCCTCTTTCATGTCACGCCATGTTCGTGACAAGTGCCTTCTAAGAAAGAACCACTACTTCTAACTGATTGCCCAAATGCAAAACGCAAACAAGTAACAGGAGATGAAGTATTTATTGCGAGTATAATAAAATAAAGGATTGGTGTGTCTATTTCTGAGACAGGGTAAATGTAAGGACGAGGAAAGTGCTTAGAACAAAGTATAAAGAGCCTATCCTCCTCAGCAGTACTGGCCTCCTTATATAGTGCTCTTCCCATCCTTAGTCATGTAGCCCCAAGTGGTCACAAGCACAAAACCAAATCATAACAAACTTGTCATATGACTAAACTGGTCACATGCACGAAACCTATAACCTTATAATAAGATTATGTGCAAAACATAAATCATATGCTCAAGTCATACCTGCAAGGCATACTTACAAGGCACACTCACCAGGCGTATGTCCCATGACTCATAATCGAGTCATGTGCGAAACATAACAAATCATAACATAAACAAGTCATATGACTCGAATGAGTCATATGCGTGAATGCCTTAATATACCTATGATTCATAATTGAATCTGCTGCACTTCTGATATGCTTCTCTCTACAAGTGGTTTTGGCTTGGGACATCAACATGCTTGAGGCATATCAGTTATGAACACTTGAGATATTCTGTTGATGTTTTTTCGAACTACTGGAAGTCTTACTATGATTTCACTAGAATTCAGGTATACTACGGCAAAGTGTTGTCAAGTCTCATTGTCCTTTTCTATCATGCATTACACTAATGCGTCTCTTAGCAACTTTCTAGCATGCATATTGACCTTGGCTGCATAGCGAGTTTGGCGAGTTTTTACTGTATGATACTCTAATAAATTTAGAACGTTCCATACTTTCCACTTCACCCATCCACCAAAACCGCACCACAGCACCACCGCACCACAGTAAATCGGCTTCTAAGCGATAACGGGAGAAAATCGAAGCAAAAAATTGATCTAAGCCATAAAAAAATAATCACGTAGTGAATCTCAAGAGGGAAATTTTTTAATGAAAAAAATGAAAAATACACATGCAATAAATACCCATCCATGGAATACAACGGACGTCTCACGTGAAAATGAAACTGAAAAAGGAACAAACTAACCAACCAATATACAGGAGTCCCAGCTTTTGTATGTGTGCGTGTGTGTTTGTATGACAATTCTAAGGATGAATATGAAAAAACGCCAACACCCAGTTTCCCCCAGTTCCGATTCTAATCTAATACCGTCTACCATATGACATGTCCCCCACCACCCAACCCAACCAATTGCTATCCCGCTCCATCTATTTTAGAGCGATGTCTTTAAAAGGAAAAAGGAAAGGTTGCAAGGCAAGGCCAGGCCGGACCGGACCTTCGTTAGAGAAGGTCAGGCTATGTATCGTAGGGCAAGGCAAGAAAACCCCTGAAAGAAAATGCAATGAAACGCAAAAGCGAGTAAAGGCGAAATGTGAAAAATAGCAAATGAAAGGACGAGAAAAAGGGAGAAAAATTCTAAGGATCTGTCCCAAGCCATGGAACTGTATGTTTTTTTTTTTTGCTTTTTTTTTCTGTTGTTGTCGCCGCTGTTGTCGTCGTCGTTGTCGTCGCCGTTGTCGTCACGATCCATCGGTCTACCGGAACCCGTTCATCGGATCCTCAACCTCGCATTTGGGAGTCGCGACGGGCGTGGGCGGCATCTCGATCAGGAACTCATCGCTCTCGCGATTCGCCGCAAGACTAGTAATCGCAATCTTATCCCCGCCGTCAAACTCCGCGAGCGCCCTCCTATACATCCTCCGAACGAACGTCTCGCAGTCGTGTTTAAGCAGCCAGTCCTCGCGCGGCATCTTGATACTGCCCGGGTTCAACCTGACCTTCTCCCAGTCCGCCTTGTGCCACATGTCGCGTACCTCCTCTCCCTTCTTCTGCGCAGACTTGACACGGTCGTAGCGTAGTCGCTCATATATCTTGAGGGCTGAGGGGATCTTCTGCGCGTCCGGGACCTGCTTTTCCGTGTGGGTTAAGGAGAGGATCGTGGCCAGGGCGACGCCGTCCTCAATCGCCTGGGAACAGCCTTGTATTGAAGTGGGTAAAAATGGGTGAGCGGCATCTCCGATTAAACATATGTGACCGCCCGGGCTAATCCATGTGGGAAGGGGCTCCCGATGGACAAGTTTCCAGTCCACTAACGAGGGGGTTTTGGCGACCTATTGTGGATCGGCGGTTAGTTTGGATGAGCAGGAACTAACATGTGATTTTGTGTTCGGGTGCTTACGATTGCCCTGCATCTTGGGTCCCAGCCTTCCAGAAGCTTTAGAACATCTTCCACACGTCCGGGATAGGACCATGATTCGTCAATGTCCCCGCCGTCCTGACCGTTTCACCCGTCAGCGCGCCGCACGCACACAACACACAATGCCTAACTGCTACCAAAAAGAGGAACTCCGCTCTTCCAGAGGAAAACCATACCTTATGCGTGCAAACCCACGACAGCTCTCGCCCTCCTTTACACGTAGCCACAAGCAAATGAACATCGGGTCCTAGCCAACCTGTGTGCGTGTCCCCCCGCTCCGCGAATTCCCTCGTAAGTGAGTCGTCCAGGATCCCATGCTCCTCGGCGTTGAACCATGCACGATACACAGCATAGCCAGTGGACTTGACCCTGTCGTCCAAGCCGAGCGCTAACTTCCTGGCTCTGCTCCTGACGCCGTCCGCACCGACGACCACGTCTCCGACGAAGGTCTCGCCATCATCGCACTCGACCCAAGCCTTGCCCAACTTGGGGTCCTCCTTGTACGCCGTTACTCGCTTGCCCATATGGAAGCGCACGCCCAGGTGCTCAGCGTAGTCGAAGAGAACCCTGTGGATTTCCGCCCGGTGTCCGTTGTATGTTGGGCGCTCGGGGTCTGGGGTCACGATTGGTTGCTCAAAGACGAATTCACCCTTATGCGTGTGGATGATGAAGGATTTGTGGTTCATGCAGATTTTGCGCAACTTGTCGCTGATCCAGGCCGGGTCCCAGCGAGAGAGCACTCTTCCGGCATTTTGACCTATTCATCCGTAGACCAGCTTCAATTAGGGTTTCTCTCTTCCATATCCTTCCCTTTGTTTCGTGGAGTTAGGATGGGGAAGGAGGATAGCGAGAGATAGAGGGTCCGAACTCACTTATACTAATGATGTCTCCGAGCTGCTCCCACTTGGGGGCTCTCTCTAGCACTGACACTGTGTGCCCTTTCAGTCTGGCCTCGATACTCGCTGTTAATCCGCCAAAACCTGCGCCAACTATCACGACGTGAATTCCTGTTGGTAGGTAGGGCGCGATCGGCGTAGCCATTGCGACGACCCGGGGATGATGGAGAAAAGGAGGAGTATATAGAATTAGGTGGAGTGGGTAGCAGACCGTCGGTCGACTGGTAGTATATAGCGAGACCGAAAGGGGCCACGATATCTCAATTGAAGACTCTCGATTCGAAGAAGGCAACGCACGAGTAGGGGATGAGATCCTTATAAGACGAGTCTAGAGCAAGAAGCGGGTCAAGCGATATTTGTGTCGTGCGTGGGATAGCAGACGGCTAAAGAAATGAGGACGTAAGGAGGAGGATGAAGCAAAGTATATAAGGCCTCGGTACACCCCAGATGCGGGCCCAATCCATGACATGGTAGGTCCATGACAAAATTCAAATGGAGGAAGGCATAGTAAGAGAGAGAGGGAGAGGGAGAGGGAGAGGGAGGGAAAGCGAGTGAAATGACCGAGGGCATAATATGGGTAGAGAGGTATAAGAGAAGAAGAAAAAACCACATTCGAAGAGTTGAAACACCTTGCCACGCATCTGGGAGTCGATGGCGGCGGGGGCCCCCCCTGGGGTTGCTCATATCCAAGGCGCGCTGCTAGGGTAGCTCTTTCTCAGAGGAATGACTTCCATTGGCATAGAGGAAGAGAAAGGAGGATCCTGACAGCGTGGTAGGGGTGGAGAGCGAAGATGGGGTTGGGTGGGGTGGTAATAGCAATGAAGGTGAGAAGGAACGGAAGAATTGTGGTACTTCTAGGAGAGGCGTAACTTACCGGTACAGTACAGTACATCACCCTTCTGTAATTTTCCATCCGTGTCTCATCCCTGCACATTTAGAATGGAAGCAAGGTCCCAGCGGGTGTGTTCAAGTCCCAATTTACCAATCAGCACGAGATCTCGCACTGTTGATTTTGTCCATTATCCGAGTACTCTTTGAGTACGGTACAGTGAGAGAAGTATAAGAAGTCTACCCTACAGTACTCGTATGATGCAGCCCAAAAAAAAAAAAAAAAAATTTATAATATTATGGAAAGGGAAAAAGAGGATACGGGAATGGTGAGGTGTAGTAGAGCTTTACCGACAAACACCCTCCGACCCATCCATACTCGCACAATGTAGAACAATACTCAAGATGCCGGTATGCCCCTCCTGAGGTTTTTTTTTTCTTTTTCTTTTTCTTTTTTCCTTCCGCCTACATTTGACTGCCTTTTGTCTGGTGAGAAACTGCTTTGCATCCTACGGATAATTGTTGCTCGCAATCAGAATTTCGCTACCGTCCTTCACTAATGCCTTCTCTGGGGGGGCGGGGGAGAGTTGTTACGCAGTGCAAATAGTGGGTTTCTAGGCTTTTTAGGCTTGCGGAGTTGATCACTTGTATCTGCCCAGCTATTCTACCTGCCCGCGCTACTATTCTGCCTTTGGTAGGCGAATTATATTCCTTTCTATCGTGAGTGAGAGAGCAAATCTTTCTTTCTCTCCTTGCCCACGTTACTCACAGCACGTCCCCGATTCCCCACCCCCCCCCCCACCTTCTGCTCCATCGCAGGCTACCTTTCTTTGCCTTTAGCTAAGAGAACATCCACCCGCAAGCCCATTGGTAGATCTAGTAGATTTCAATGTGGAAATTTCTCTGCTTCTCTTCCTCACGAATGCAGTTAATCCCATAATATACTATGCTTGATTATCGTCGTCAGTCACAGGATTTTGTTTCAACTTTCAACACTGCTTGTCTTCTTTCTGTCTGTTGAGCTGGCTTCGTGTTGGTCTACAATTATCTAAGCCTTACCGCGCTCCACTTCATCATCAGCTCAGCGCCTCGAGTCAATTTCCAGCGCTGTACTGATACTCGTACAGCGGCTGCACCAATAGCCCAGCCCCCGCAGCCCACCTGTACTGTACGAGTACAGTACAACTTCTACTCTGTCTGCCCTAATCAATTAGCTATCATTGTCTAACCAAGCTACAAAAGCAGGGCTCCGTGTCAATAACTCTAATCAGAACCAATCCTGATATGTAGTACAATACTAGACTAGTGTACCTCCGGAATTGAATTGAGCTCTCTCTTTTTTTTCGCCCTCCGTATCTTGCAGGGTTCTCCCTCCCTCTCCCTCACTGATCACTGATAAAAGCTTACGGCGGCCGTGAAGCCCGAGTTGCCCGAGCCAACTTAAACCGCCATCCCTCCTCCTTCACCCAACACCCCCTTCTGATGTTGCCCGTCACCCCGAACGCAAAAGCCGAGCTTTGAAACCGCTCATATTGTTCCATTTCATCTAGAACAACAAAAGCATAGTCGGTCGGGTTTCCCAATAGGAAAAGATGTACTGTATCCACTCTCTCCGTTGTTTTGTCCCCCGATCCGACATCCCCTCCGGGCAACCCCTTGCTAGTTAGCTAGAGAGAGTAGCTACGGTATTGTAACAAGCTTGCTATGGCATTGTGGCCCATGCAACACCGCGATCATCGCCACCAGTACTTGTACTTGTACATCTTTCCCTTCCTACAAGTATATATCATACCACCCCCGCCCCCCATATGCTCCCACATCCTCCCAACTTTTATCGTTGTCTTATTCCACCTGGTGATTTACAAGTATACTAGCTAGCTAACTAACTACAATACTGTAGCTCAAGCTCGCAAAATGAGGTCCTTTCTCTATCTCTCGAGAAGGTGGTGTCGTTTAACCCTTGATCCACAATCTTTCACCTTTTACCTCACAGAGTGCCACGGATGATGCCGCAGTGAACGAATTTGGTAGCGGCCACCAAGGGTAAACCCGGTTACCAGCTAATACATATTTACTCGGGTGGTTTCCCTAGCAGCAGGGAGATGGGATATTGTCTTGTCGGGGACATTGTCCTGCCACACACCGAATAATCCCGGTACGATACTAGCCTCCACAGCTCAGCTATTTTCTCATTACTACTATTCTCATCTTTGATATAGATATATATATATATAATATACAAGTAACCCGATCATGACTAAATTAAACGCCCTCCTCCTCCCTCCCCCGTTGCCTGGTTAACACTTTGCTCATGATACAGTAGTCGGAGGAGGACCAAGAGTATTTTACGCCGGGAATACTCCCGAAAAGTCCAATTCTCTATTGTGAACTATAATATCATAGTTAAAAACGAGCACAGTAAATTAAGGCCAAAGTTGAGGCCAAAAAACATGTCCCTCACCCCGCAGGCGCTCTCTCTCTCTCTCTCTTTTTTTCTTTACTCTTCTGGGAAGCCCCCGGCACGACAAATGTGTAGAGCTCACGGACGTTGGTCTTTCTGCTGCTGCTCCGTCTGTGGCGGGAGAGTGGTTTGAGGGGGCCTTCTCTGAACCAAGCGAACCTAATATTAGCGTTCAATAATAATAACACCGAAACCTTTATCTGGCACATGATAATACCTTCATCCATTATGATATGGCGGGAGACTACGGTACTTCGCTTTCCTTTTTTCTTCTTCTAAAGACCCTTTCGTCACATTCAGTTGGAGCAGTTGACGCGTTGGGTTCTCTTCCTTTTTCCAGGTGGAGGGGGAAGTGGGAGGCATGTTTTCGACCCACTCGTTTTTCTCTCTGCGATACCGGTAGACCATACTTGTTGGCCAACTTGGCAGGTATGATATTCACCAGTTAACTGATTCACGATATGCCCTCCCAGAAATAAAAACACCTTCACAAACCTCGCGGGAGAGAGAGGACCAAATTGTCGCTGTGTGAAAGATTGTCCACCGACCATTTTAAAGTTGAAAGCCACACACACGTGGCTCGAGTGGATTGCCGGAAACAACGTTTCCTTCCTTTTTCTACTCAATAGGGAATGTATCCACTCACCAAACTAACCCACCTAAAACTTGTTTTTCTTTGACCTCATTACGTCCTTGTATCTATCTAGACACCCCCCCATTGATCCTCCTATAGTACGAGTACTCGAGTAGTTGGAATCTTTTTCTTTTTTTACTTCTTCCTTATCGCCTGCCTCTCTTTTCCCCTTCTTTCCCTCCCTTGTTGGCCAGATGGACGGTGGTGGTGGTGGTGGTGGTAAAAGATATGACTTCCCCCGCGTATGGCTGGTTCTAATGGCTGTCATGAGTCGTGTCCAGCTAGTCAGTTCACTGAATTTATTGCGGTGGGGACTGTGTGAGAGTACTCGAGTACTAGTGTAGAAGCGGATCAATAGAAAGGAGTGAGTCCCCTCACTCGCTCGTACCGAGTCAACTCACAACCATGGTATATCATACTCGTACTATTCTTTCTAGGCGTCCATTCATTAACTCAATCGAGCAACCCCAAAAAGAAGAAAGAAGAAAAGGTGTGATGTCATGTATGTACAATACTGTACTCGAGTACCTTACCCCTTCTTCCTCCTTTCCCCCCACACGTAAGTTCACGCAGCGCGCGCGGGTGGTTCGCTTTCCCGAGATATCACCATACGGATGAGGGAGTGGACTGGAGAAGGCGAGGCTCTTGCATGTAACCGCTCAAATACCGGCATTCCGCGTAGACCGCCCCAAACAGACCACGGACGACGGTCCACGATACGCACCGAAGACGGGATTCCCGCCGCGTGAATTTTCTGTGTGTGCAGTTATGTGTGCACGGTGTCTGTGTCGGAGTATCTAGATGGGGATCCTACTGTCGCAGAATCTGCGGGATGATAGTGATGATTCGGATACTCGATAGATACGAGTACTCCTGGAATATCATACTGATAGTGCTACAGAAGTTTGCTCTTTGTGGGTCTCATCGGGCTTTTTTTTTTTCTTTCCTTTTTTCCTTTTGACCCCCCCCAAAAGAATCACATGAGTTTAGAGGGAATTACGTAGCTTTCCCTCCTCCTCCTCACTCGGCTCCTTCTGTTGCGATACTACTACCCGTTCCTATCGCAATTATTTTGTGCCGAGAGTGACAGTTTGTGAAGCATGTAAAGTATGGGGGTTAGATGAGAACATGAGGATACGTTAACGGTTGAGGCTGATTATTCCCCGGGGCCCGGATCTAGATGATGAGTGTTTTCCATTGTGTTGCATCGCATGAGGAAATG